AGGCCTCTCCCTTAATGAGGTCACTTCGCAGTTATTCGCGGAGTATTCTTAATTAGGTGTGAATCGTACCGTTTTATACTACCCCTCGCCTACCTGTGCAGAGTCCACAGTCTTGGAGGCGTAGGTTACGCCAGAGAAGAAGTGCAGACCCAAAGAGGTGCACAGGACGAGGCGTTCTCTGTCTTCTTCACTACTCCCTCATGTTGTTCCATCTTGAACGTCGGTGGTAGGTCTGCCAAAACTTCAACGGGCATTCCGTATGTCTGGCTCCAGGAGAGGACTTGAGTCAAATGCACCTTTCATCATCACCTCAGCATCTACCACCTCATGCCTGCATAGAAATGCCTGCGAAGTGACCTCAGTAATTGGAGTATGCTCACTGCCTGCCCTCGCGCACACATTCTGAGCTCAGGACCACAGACACGCAGAATCTTATCGTCACAACAGGAGTTATGTGATTCATTTTGGTATTTTTCTTGTGCTCAAGAATACGTTTGTTTGTGGAAAAACTGATAGAAGTCGTTCCCTCCAAAATGTTTTCACTAAGCTCCTCCCCTTTGTTCCATTTTTTTTAGTGAATGGTGACCCCGGATGCGAAGACAGTTCTAGTTTCAACTGTGAATTTTCACGGCCAGACAAACGAGGACTTTTGTTTGTGACATTTCGCCTGCTACTAGGTTGCGCCACATCAATCGGCAAGACGGTATGTCGTTGATTGGCCTGGGTGGAAGTTCAGTGGCAGGAGAGTTTCGGCATGACGGCAGGGAGATCCAGCTGGCAGGAGATTTCCCTCGAAAGTGTTTTTGAAAAATCGGGATTTACTCCGATCTGACTCTTCACATGGGAATTCACATATTCATGTGTCAGCTTTTTTCTCTTGTAGGAGCTTCCTCGTTGCGCATACCTTTTTATAACAGGCAGCGTTATTAACTTTCAAATCCTGTAGCTAAAAGCGTCACCGATGCTCACGCGATTTATGAGCTCTCGGAAGATTTGCGAGGTGGCTGCTCGTTTTTGCCAGAACAACAATGATCAACCACCTTCTATAATGAATTATTGAAAGTAAATCTTCATAGGATATGATAGAGTCTGATCTACAGAATTTGGTAAGTCTTAGTGAGCCATCATCTTCACGGTTACACGCAGAAAAAAGATAGTCATTTGGATGCCAATCATCGCTTCCATTCCCTATGGGCCTGATTTATAATTGTAGAGGCAGAATTTGCTATCACTGAATGCGCGCGACCAGAAATTAAGGTAGCCCAATGAAAAACTAT